AACATTGTGCATTAACCTCAAATTAGTACTCATGACCCACTGAGAAATCAACTAGCCAGCCTTTCTGGTAAGCCGTGCAAGCCACATGGGTTCTCAAGAGAGAAAAGTCAGATAGTGCCTCCTGTGAGCCTGCCAGCATTCAGGCTGAGAATCAGCTCCCTCCTCCTGCCCCAAGCAATCAGCTTGTTCAGAGGACAGGCTCAGTTGATAGCAACTAAGGTACATAAAGCCAACTAAATGCTTGTATTGTTTGGTTGATTTTTTTAGACCTGAGGACACGGGTCTGAGCATCTCTAGGAAGGACAGCATGCAATATAGCAAATATGTGGGATTTCCTTCTGCCTTGTCTTTGAAATCCAGTATTGTTCTCACTGTTTAGCTTTACTCAGTGTTCGGTTTTGACTGGTTTTATTCTCTTTTGTTTTTCATTTGATTTTGCTATACCTGTGGAATGGACAAGGATTGTGACGATAACAAGATATTCTATGGTAGCTATTGTTGTTTTGCTAGAATCATGCTTGGAAGTTCTATACCAATTTTGCTGTATTTGACTGGCTTTGTTATTTTGATTTTATTATCTTTAAAAAATTAACATTCACAGATCCATAACTTTCTTTCTTTTTTTTTCACATTTTTAAAAAATCTTTTTATCGGTATCAGGGATTGAACTCAAGACTGCCTGCTTGCAAGGCAGGTGCTTATGCTGCTGAGCTAAATCCTCAGCCCCCATAACTTTCTTCTTAAGAGTGCCTTTCTCTAGTGGAGGGAACCCTGGTAGCATTCCCATTTTATTTTCCATGTGTTCTATTTAACAAAGGCTGATGCTCATTCCACACAGAATATTAATAAAGAGAAATGTTGTACTAAAATGCTAAAAAACTAAAATACAAAGTTAAAGATTGTTATTAGCAAAAAAGAGCTTTGTCATTCTGTGCTACACTTATTACCCTAGTAACCATGTAATTGAAGCACCAACCACATAGTTATAGATCAACTGACCGTCTTGTCATGCTGTTCTGTATGCATTGCCTGAGTAACCTGTTTGCTGTGTCAACCTGTGTTCTCCTTGTAAGAGACAGATGATGCTGTGTCAGCCATTGTTCCCTTTATGAGAGATAAATGTTCCTGGAGTTGGCAGACCAAGGGCTATGAGTTGGCTAACCACCCACTGGGAAATGCCTCTGACCTCAAGCAAAGGGGAACAAAGGCCCACCTTGTTTCTGTTTCTCATCTCTATGTACTTAGTGGTCAATGAGATGATCATAAATGGGCTATAAAAATCAATCAAAATTCTAACCCAGTCGCACAGTTTTGCAAACACCATCTGCACTGTGCCGCTGATGCCAGCTTAAATAAAAGCGCTTCTTTTAAAAAGACGTCTTGCCCCCCTTCTTGACAACATCTCAGGGCTTGTTTTTGGGATACAACAAGAAACGTGAGCCCGTGTTCTGTTGCCCATCCCACCAACAGCAGTATCTGAGATGAAAGCATCTTCACGAACATTTCTCAAAAGTGGACTCCAGATTTTAACTGTTTCTTAGAGGATGTGGAGAAATCATGCTGAAAACAAAAACATAAGGACCGATTAAGATAATAAAGTGACCCATCAAGGGTGTTAGTGGTGATGCTTTTCTCTCCTTCCTTACAGGTTTCCCCCAGTGCTGTAGACAAACAGTGTTCCCAGGAGTGAGTTCTAGAAGGCTGCAGATGCCTGCCTTCTCAGCAGTGTTCTGAGTGGAGAACTGTGTTTGTGATCAGTAACAAGTATTAGAAGGCAAATAAATAGAAATTTAAGAAGGTTCTGCATTTTATAATTTACGATCTCAATAAAAGTCTGCCTTTTAATTATAATGGGGAAAAAAAAACCTGTGATGAACTTAGAGGTTGCTTGGAATCTGTGCCCCTAATTCTTTTTACATATTCTAGGATAAGCAGCCAAGTACGTATGAGGAAAATAATGCCACGTTGTTTTGTGTCTGCATTTAACATCTCCCTGTGCTTCTGGCATGTGCTATTTCATCTCTTCCTTTTCAGCTGGGGTCATTGTCTTTTTCTTGGTATCTATGACACTGGCTCCTGCCATACCGTAATATTCCTGCCACAGAATAATAGTTCCCACGTGCCATTTTTATTTGTGATCCCCACTGTCTTTCCTCCAAGAGGATTTACAGCAGCTTGGAAAGCTGTATCTCAAATATTACAGTGAAATAAATGTGCTGTGAAGTTTTACACACTTGCCCCAAATCTGGCTCTAAACTTTTTACTAACCAATTTAAGAGTGGCTGTGATTTTTAAAAAGTATTGACTGATTACTGACGTCTTGGGGGCTGAGCCCATCCCTTCACACTGAGTTACCTCCTCAGCCTTTTAAAAATTTTTTACTTTGAGAGACAAGGTCTAGCTAAGTGGTTCAGGCTGGGCTTGAACTTGCGACCGCTCTGCCTCAGCCTCTTAAGAGTGCTGGGATTATAGGTGTGTACATCCCAAGGTCCACCTTGTGTGTTAAGCAGTCTGAATAACTTAGATAAAGGAACAAAATTAGAGCCCTAACCCTTCCCAATCCCACAGTTTCTCACAGTTACACCAAGCATGACAAAACGGCATTGTGTTTGTCTTTTTAAAGAGAAAAGTAAGACAAATACAATTTTAGAGTATTTACTAAGTCAATGTTCATTAAAGTTTCAAAGCTAGGATTAAGGTGCAAGTGTTCCTGATTTTTTTAAAAGAAGAAAAATAGACACCTGTGGGCAAAAATTAAAATGTATAGAAGTCCACAGGAAGTTAAAATAAAAACAAAGTAACGAGTCTACCACCCAAGCTTCTCTCCCCACAGATAACATCTGTTAATAGCTTAGACTTCCAGACCTCAAAAGCGGAGAAAAGTATTTAATTACTGAGGATGCTGAACAACAGGAATTCTCATTGAGTGCTGAGGGAGTTATAGTTGTACATTGCTTTAGAAAACTGTATGTACTAAAGCAGAAATAAGCAAACAAATATGTACCTGCCAGGACGCCGTAATTGCCCATATACACCAGAGGCACGTTGAGAATGCTCATGGTACATTCTTAACGGCGAACCTGCAAACGACCCAGCATCTCTGCAGATAGAGTGGGTTTGTGGTGGTTTATGCTGGGAATGCGAGTGAAGACCAACATTACGTACCATGTTACAAGAAGCCAGGGCCAGGAGTAAAGCCACACCTTTTCATAAAGTATGATAGAAAGTACAAACCCAGACTAAACTAACCTGGGGGTTTGCAAAAATAGGAGAGTGACAGAGGGGGCTGCTGGGATGTGGATATTGGTGTTTTCTGATTTGAGGGACAGTAACTTGTGAAACTAATCTGTACACAAGATTTATCGCATGTCCTATACATTATATATATCATATATATCATGTTTTTGTATGTGTGTGTATATATATATATATGCCTTTTTTTTTTTTTTTTTTTTTTTTTGTATTTTAAGACAAGGTCTTGCTATTCAGTTCAGGCCAGGCTCACTTTGTAGCTCAGGCTGATCTCGGACTTCCAACAATCCTTCTGCCTCAGCCTCCTGAGTCCTGGGATTACAGGCCTGCACCACACACTGGGATTTTTAAAAGACAGGGTTTCACAGGTAGGTTCAGGTTGGCCTTGAACTCACTATGAAGCCCAGTCAGGCCTCAAACTTGCAATGATCCTCCTGCCTCAGCCTCATGAGAATTGGGATTATGGTGGTGCACTGCCATGCCCAGCTTGTACATACTGTATTTTTAAAAATGTAAAGACAGTAGCCAGATGCAGTGGTGCACACCTGTAATCCTAACATTCTGGAGGCTGAGACAGGATCACCATGCACCCTTGCAAGGGCAGCCTGAGGTACATAACAAGATCCTGCCTCACAACAAACAAATTGAAACCCTAGCAAACTACCAAACCAGTACCAAACAGCTCTTACCTGCATCAGAAGGGCATTACCAGGGAGATGGCTTGTCAAAGTCCCACATGAGTGCTTGTCATCCACACCGAACCTCACAAATGCCTGTTACTGGGCTATCCTATCCAAACTGCCACAGGGCCAAGTTATGACTGTCCCTGGTGGAGACAAGGTAACACAACTCTGGGAATGGAGAACTCTGCCAAGGGCCACACTGCCGGGAGGGTGCAGCTGGGCTCAGAACCCAGCCCATGTTTCCAACCCTCTCTGCTCTCTGGATCCCTCCTAACAAAACTGCAGCACAGAGACAAACAAGGTGTCCCTGATGAAATCCCCTGAACAATGGGAGATGCGCAGAAACATTTTTTAACCAGGAGCACAGGTGCTTGGGAAGCTGATGGGAGGATTGCTGTGAATTTGATGCCATCCTGGGCTACTCAGTGAGTTCAAAACCAGCTCAACTATACAGTGCCTGTCTCAAAAAAACAAATCAAACCAAACCATCTTTTTTTCTAGGAAATAAGGCTCCTCGCAGTGCCAATCTTTTTTTGTTTTTTTTTTTGACACTAGGGATTGAGCCTAGGGCTCACCTAGGGCTTCACACCAAGCTATATCCCCAGGCTTTTTAATTTTTATTACTTTTTAGAAATCTTATTCCAGTCTTCTTTATTTTTGAGTTTCTAAATTGCTAAACTGGCCAGGCGTGGCTCAAATTTGAGATCATTCTGCCTCAGACTCCAGTGGATTACAGACCTGTGCCACCCAACCTAGCGCTTCCTCTTTTGTACAGGGTACAAGGGCTCCCTCTACATGGCCTGGTGGCTTTGCACGCCTGCACCAGCAACAACGTCCATTTCAACTTGTGACACACTGGGAGACAGAGAAGTGTAAGACCGAGATGTGGAGGCTGTACAACTAGAACCATTGATACAAATACCTGAGAGCTCACGGAAATCATCAGAGTCACAATTTCTAGGACTTCAGTTTCCAAAAATCGTTTTGAAATGACTTCAGAATACTGAGCTAAGAATGTGTGATGAATACCTTTACAAGAAGAAACCACTAAAAGGCAAATACACATATTTGTAAACATAATATTTTATTAACAAAGTTTTTACACCCTTCTTAGAACAAATTTTATAGTGATTTAGCATGTTATACTCTATAAAAAGTTGATTATAGAATATTCAAGCTAAAACAGTATCATCAAAAAGTATGCCAACTCTACCTTCATTTGCAAACTGCCTACTACTAGCATGAGTATAAAAAAATTATACAACGAAAAGCCAAAGGTTTAGTTTTGTTCTATCAGCATCTACAAACATACAGACATCATATGATTTACATAGACTTAGGTCCAGCCCAAGATTGAGACCGCAAACATAAAGTCTTCAAACATCCACACAAGCTTGGCAAACCATCATTACAGTGTTTCAGGCAGTTCATCATGCAGTGTGAAGCCACAGTTATAAGCTTGTTTACTGTGTTACATGGCAGCTAACATTTTAAGCAACTTAATGTTATTCGCAATAGGTGCTATTATAAAAAGGCACAAATATCTTACTCCTTACATCAGGTCTTGAAAAGGCATGATATTCTTAGGAGAAATAAGAATTGCTGGTATGATGACTTAGCTTCTCTCTCTTTTTTTTAATGTCTAGGCTCATCTCTATAGCTGTTTCTGTTCCAGACTTTTAATCTGGACTTTTACACACTTTAACACATGCTCTATTACAAACTCAAGAAGTTCTGACACTTAAGCTAATTATCCTATCACCAGTGAAAAGCATTTTGGCAATTGAGTCAAGGCTGCCCACTCCCTTTCTGGAGCCCTGTGGTTCTTTACCTCAGTTGGTCTTTGCATTTCTCGCCGTGCTGCATGTGCTTGCCTTCCTGCTGCACAGAGCGGGCCAGCCCTGTCACTGTGACCACAGAAGGTCACAGGGGTGCATGTCATGGGTGGTGAGGAGGGCGCTGGTCCAGCATGTCTCTAAGGAAAACTTTCAGGACACTGAGAAGAGTAAAAGAAGAAAGACAGGAAGCCTGCTGCAATCACAGGAAGGCAGATGTAAATGTTCCAGGTCCGAGGGAAGACTGATGACTGTGTGAGTGACGGAGAAAGTGACATGACAGAAGGACTGAGCTGGATGAGAGCAAACGACAGCTACCACACAAAATCCAAGACCTCTTCCAGGGCAACGAAATTGTCTTCACTGACAACAAATGGTTTAAAAATAGAGTCACCATCAGTTGTTCTGACCGGCCAGCTGCCTATAACTTTCTCCCACTGTTAGTGGACGGGTCCCTCTGACATGAAGTTTCATGAACTCTGAAATAACGTCATACAGGAAGGAAGCAAGCGTCAACACATTCAAGTGATGTTTTGAAAAAAAATTCCATGGGATACGAATGATTAAAAACTTAATAAAAAATTAATAATGGCCAAGTATCTTAGGTGGACGGCCCAAGGCAAAGTCAAATGTTGCCACGGAAAGAGGGGCAGAGGATGCTCCCTAGAGGCACAGGTGCAAACCCCAGTGGGCCCTACTCCAGCTGGGGGACCAGTCAGCTCCGAACTGGGCTTGGGGAAGATGTAACCCAGCTCCCACACAACGTGTCTTCAGAGGCTTCAGAGGTTTCCTTGGCAACGTCAATTCTAAGTGAAGATTACTGGCCCCATACATGAAATGCTATTTTAAAGATAATTTGCTCCAAAGTTTTGCATTAAACGTTTCCTTAAACACTGGAAAGTCCCTGAATCAAGAAACAGCTTTAATCAAACCAGCATGTTTTGTTTCTATTGCATGATTATGGAGGGCATTAAGGTCTACAGTGTAGAACTGGCAGCTAAAGAAGGTTCTATCAAAAAATTGCTATCTTAAGACTTTCTGTTAATTGGCAGAAAGGACATGGCACCTGAATTCTCCTTCCCGGAAAGCTACCCCAAATTTTGTTTACTGCAATTATGAAGCATTTTGATGAGGCACTGGGTATCAAACATCTCAAAATGAACTAGCAACAAATTAAAATTTTTTGTATTAAATCTGTTACACATCACGGTTTTAATTTCATCTACTGTTGGTGTATCCTAATCTTACTATTGAAAATGCTCAACATAACAAAAGAAACAGATGAAAGGTTTGAGATTTTTAAAATTAAACTTCTAACTCCTTTTGTTTTGAAGCCAAAAATATTCTAGCCTATCTGTAACTGATTATCCTCTGAAAGGAAAGAACATAGATATTAGTTATTTCTGATGGAACAGATCATCAAATTAAATTTGATCTATGTGACTAGAAGTCCTTCTAGATTTAGAAAGTAAATCATTTTCCTATGTGCTAAGTGAGTCCTAAAGTCTGAACTGAGAAATATGGTGATTCTGGGTTCTATTTATTCACTTTCCTTATTATGTTTAATGAAACTTCATCACAATGGACCTCTCACTTTTCATTCTCTTAGATGAAAAAAATGGAGGCGAGTGAAAAACGTAATGCCTTTCTAATATTTTTTAGACTTTCATTTGCACATAAAACAGGACAAATGCCTTGGAATTTCATTAACATTTCTTGCAAATCAGATAATCAAATTGCCTGGTTTTCTATTACTGGAAGTCAAGACAAGCAACTCTGCTGTCAAAAGAAATTTGCAGAGATTGTTTTTTAAGTCCTAGGCTAAATTCTGTCCTCACTTCTTTTTTCTAAAACCGTACAGTATACTGTTTATCTCCTCTATAATTTTCTGCTAGGAATATACATATATTTTAAATCACGTATCACAGGATACCCTGACATTATTTTGAATCATTAAGGATTTTTTTCTTTTTTGCAGTGCTGAAGATAGAACCCAGGGCTTTGCATATGGGAGGCCAGTGCTCTATCACTGAGCCCTAGTAAACATTTTTTGATGAACCAAGCTGATTGAAGGCAGGTATATACTTAACAGCTTGACCCTTGAAGATACATCCTATTTTTTCCTTCAAAACCTATTAACCGTTAAGAGGTAGAGTACCTCTTAAAAATCAGACAGTAAACAAAAATTGTGTTGCTCATCCCTTTAAAACAAATTTAAGTAATTTACACTATCTGGGTTTCTACTGTCAGTCAGGACAAACATTCACAGCCTAATGAGTTTAGAAAGGAAAGCTGGCCTGAGTGTGTGGGCTGTCCTTTCTCCAAATGTTCCAAAGCTGGTATTTAGCACAGACAAGGCTAAGGGATTTCCAGTAACTTTGCTCTGGGAGAAAAATAATTCTCTCATTATTTACCCAGGGCTTACTGAGACAGCTGGATGTTCATGGGCTCATCTGTTACAGAAATAACACACTGTGTACCTATAGCTCATGATCTAGGGCCGTGCATCATGTCCTTGCTTGGAAAAGAACAAGTGACAAAGTGGTCAACAGGATTTACATAGCCTTTTGCAATCCAGTCTTAGAATGTGAAAGGTACATATAACCGAACAAATGCCCTTTGGAGGCCAACATCCCAATTAGGGCAGTGTTAATACAAAACTGACTTAGCCATTTCAACTCAAGGCCGTAAACATCCACATTCTGGGTGACAGTTCCAGGAAAACCATGAAATAGCTGTGTAAAGGACATTTTCATTACTGTATGTCTCAGAGTTTTAAGAGGCCTTCTAGATACATTTTTTTGAGACAAGAAATTGATATAGAAGAGAATTTCTAAAATTAAGCATGGTTTTCTTCCCCTTGATATATTTAAAAATAAAGAGAACTGATAATCTTAAGAAGGACACTAGCAGCTTAAGGAGATCAATGTCTGATGTAAAAGGCTAGACCCTATCAGACCTGGGTAGGTGTCCAAGAAGTATGAGCACAGTGAGAGAAGAGGCATCACACACAGGGAACATTTCTTATTTTAAAAGGAATAAATCTTGCAGCTGCTCTGTGCAGAATTTATCCCGACGGTGGCTGACAAGCAGGTGATGGAGGTTTCACTTGGAAACAGAAGAGCCTGCAGTAGGTACTTCTCCCCAATCACTTGTTACAGAGAGTTTAAAATGAAGGACACTTAATCATACTCTTACTTTATGTTCTTTTAATCACATGATAGCTAATTAGTTATCAGAGAATCAGAAAAACACTTATGTAAAAGGAGAGATCTGTAGACCAATGGTTTCTAGGATTGGACACCTGCAAAGAGCTTATTTCAATTTCTCTGAAAAGAATCAATACACACTTGCAGCTAATTAATGATTTTCCCCTTCTGTTTAGTCCCCAAAGTTTTAAAAAATGGCTGTGCTATGAGGGAACCAAAAGATTTTTACAGATAGGTTCTAATTTCTTTGAAGTCTAGCTTTTTCTCATAATTTTCTGATCACTGCTTAGGTTAATAAAAAATGTGTTTAAAATAAAGCACTGATTGACTTTAATAATCATTTTTCCATTTTAGACACGAAGTCCTCACAAGACCTTTTCACCCTGTTTTTACTGAACGTGATTTACGGATCTGAGATACAAACACTTTTCATTGTTAAGCATTAGACTAACACAACAAGAGGAACAGTGCCTTACCAATATCTTGGATGGACTGATGAAAATTAGGGCAAAGCATCTTAGCAATGCACAAACACAAACGCCACGCATGCCACTTGTGCTTTTAATAAGACATGTGGCTGTGGTCAAACAGAATTACTTCTACATATGGGCAAGGGTATAAAAGTCAGCAAGAGAAACCAGCAAGAAAGACCAGCTGCAAAGAGTCAAAGAGATGGCCTAGTAGTGGGCTAGAAAATCATGCTGAGATGCATCACAGGTTTCAGACGAGGCTCAGAAGACTGCATTTACAGAGGCACCAGGGGATGACCAGCATCTAATGGCAGGTTTGGTGAAGGTCATACATTTGTGGGGTTTTTTTTTTTTGGTGAAATAAGGCAAGAAAGGCCACACAGGCATGGCCTCTTCTGCAATAAATCAAGAAACCTTTGTTTTTGTTTTGTTGTCATGGAGACAGAGGCCTAGCAGTTGGGACTGCTAGGGACAGACCAGGGTGGTGCGGGCATGCCCTGGAACCATCTGAAGGTACATAAAATGTAATTAAGCCACCTTTAGGAATAAACAGTTCAGCCCTGGGAATCACACAGTTTCTCTACAAGTTGCCAATTTAATGCTGGCTTGAAACAAAACACTGGGAAGATATGGAACCTACATGTACTTTATATGGAACAACATTAGAATTTTCACTTACTGTTTTCTTTCGATACGATTTTAGTAAGCAGAAAACAACCTTCAGATGCTCGAGATGTACAGGAAAAGGTTTTGTTTCTTACTTAATGTGAATTATAATTTTCCCATGGAAATCTATACATATAAAATGGGGGGACACAAAGAAATAACAATTTATTTTTAAAAGTTTTGACTGTTCAGTTTAAGGATAGCTCTGAAAACACAATTTAGTATGAAATTCAAGCTGTTTCATTTCCTATTTAATCTTGTAAATTTCCTTCTCTTAAAATACTCAGGTTGGAAGGGTGCCAAATTAGACCAGGAACAAATTTTCACTAACTTCACTTCAGTGCTTTATTTTTAGATTATATTAAAAACCTCATTAGGCTCCCTGAGGGAAAAGAGTGTTAACCACTAACAGAAGCAGGGGAAAATAAAGGAAACAGAGAGAAAAGCTAAATTGTTAACAAGGAAAGTGCCCTTAAAACAGTTGGTCCGAGGTTGCTGTAAAAGCTAAAAGAAACTTATTACCAAAACCAGGTAAATGATTTGCGCCTGGAGCTTCCTCTTTTACCCCAGGCTAGGAAGGACTTGTCAAAGTAGCACGTGTTTTTTATTATTATTTCCAGATGGGATGTGGGGGAAGAAGGGTGGGCAGAAAGGAAGGCAGAGAGACCACAGAAGACTATGAGTTACGCACCCTTACGTCTCTGCACAACACGTACGTGCCTCAGAATATCCCACAGACAGGCTGGGAAATGGGTGGGCATGTGCAGGATTCCTGCAGGAGTACTGAAACAATTAATTAATGTATTTACATAGAATCTTTAAGCAATGGTCTCATAAATATAGACTGTGACTTTACATATGCGAAGCAACTTGTTTCCCCACCAAAATACTTGGGTTAAATAAAAAATCGACAGCATTTACATTACTTCCTGTACTTTCTTTCGTCTCCTTGCTTTTTATGCCGTCAGTTTAGAACATCGGCAGTCTGATTCACTGCAGGCAGCTTCTCTACCACCACCACCGTGTTCACGAGAGCTTACTGAAAGTGGTGCTGACAGTGCGTCTGGTGCCACACACACAGCAGAGTGAGAAGCAAACCCGGGAGGCGGTGGCTGCGCGATGCTGTCAGCTTACTGCATGTGTCTTAGGCTAACACACTCAATGAAAGTGCATCAGAGATGGCGGAGATGTCATTGTCTGCATCCATCCCATAAATAACCCATTTCACTTTTAAATAATAACTGCCAGCTCTCCACTTGCAAAATTCTACATTTTAAATGATACAATTCCCTCTAACAGTGGCGATGGAAAACCAAAGAAATGATAATCTCCACAAAGTCTCCCTCCCAAAAACCATGAAAGTGCTAATTTTCCCTTTACAAATGTTACATAAAATCCTGATTACAAAACTACTCAGCAATTTAACCCTACCATCCATACAATTAGATGTTCCTTTCAGCAAGGTCAAAAGCCAATGATGTAGTCCCTTTGTATACCATTCTTGACATAGTACAAGTCCACAGACTGAAATACACTGCTGCAGTCTTCAGAGAACACACTGGTCAATGTCTGCGAGTCCTTTTTTATGAAGAAGACTCAAGAGCAGCTCGGCAGGGCCTGCAGCCCTCCTGCCAACTTCAGGCTCACTTACATCATCAAGTCTGAGAGGCTGAGGCTCGTCAACAGCAGCTCCGCTTTGGCTCTGACGGTGGTCTTCGGAGTTTGAAGCCCTTACCGCCAGATGGCGGGTTGGCGTCGGTGGACGGAATTCTTCGACCTACATCAAGACAGCAGGGGAGGGAATTAGCCTCAACTTTCCAAATCTGTTTATTCTCAGACCAACAATTTTGCAGATGCAATCTGACAGGTTTCATTAGACTAAAAAAAAGTTTAATAAGTGTTTTACCCTGGAATAATTTACAGAAAAGTTGCAAAGAGGACAAATAGAGTTCCTGCATGTTCTCATTCAGTCCCCTAATGCTGAGGCATCTTACACTGTCACAGTCATTTGTCAAAATGAACAATTCAACATTGGCACATCATCATCAACTCTAGACTTTGTTTGGATGTCACCGAGTTTTCCACTAACATCCTGTTTGTGTCCCAGGATTGAAGGATATCACATAGCATTTAAAAAGTTAAAATTAAAAAGATTCCATTGGAATATGCCTGTCCTTTGACCACTGTGACCCTTTGCTTGTGCAGCCTTGTAGGGACGGGCATTTGCAAGCATGCACGGCTATGTCTCATTCCCTTTGGCTCCCCTTTGTGAAGCACAAACGGGAGCAAACAGTATGCACTGTTCTCTTCCTTGCTACTTTCACCCAGGATGCCTTGGGGATTGTTCCACCACAGAACAGTGTGGGGCTGGTACATCTCTACTAGCTGTACAATACCGTATGGTATATACGTATTGTAATTTATCAGCCATTTCTCTACTGATGGGTATCAAGTTCACTCTCAGTGTTTAGCAATACAGTGTTTAGTAATATACAGGATAAATGAAGAGAGTGCAGGACCTACGGTCACACCATTCTACTTCCTGGGCAATGGTCTGACACATAAACCACATTCCCAGGATCTGATCTAGCACAAAAGCAAGAAGGATGTGCAATTTAAATTTTGACAATGCTGTCGAATGACTCTCTGGAAAGGCTGTGTCACTTTATTCTCCTACCAACAATACAGGAAAATGAACAGGTTTCCGTTTACTGCTCCGAGACACACATTGTCAATTTTGAGAAACCCTGAATCACCCATCTACCTATCTGACTGATAACCCAAAGGCTGCTTCTTGTACAGCTTCTCCCGATGCCTTTCTAGCTTCCTAATTTTCCCACAGCGCAGACACTAAAACCTACCCACACTCCTGAAGCATACTGTCATATATTTGTTTACAGGACAAGCTTCCTCAGGTTAGATCCTAAACTCTTGAGGGAAAAAGATCTTGTTTCTCAACCTTGGTGTTTCTAGCATTTTGTAAACACACAATGAATGAACAGGTACATCTGACATTAACAGGCAGGGAGTTTGTGACAGCCCTTGTGGCCCAGCCTTGAGCACCGACCATTTTGGGCAGTTCATAATCCACATGGTGGTGAATAAGTTTCAAATGTACTTTAGAGTGTTGCTGAAGTTTATCATTATGCTTTTCTCAATAAATGAAAATAAATCCAGCTAGTGTCACAGAGGCAACTGCAAAATACAACAAAAAATTTTTAAAAGAATGAGTATTTTTAAAAGAAGGCAGGAGAAAACATCTTTGTGAACCAGTAATGGTTTCTTAAAAAAATTATGCTTACTATAAAAGAAAACAAGGACATATTAGGTGAGATTAAAATTAAAAACCAGTTTATATAAGGACTGTTAAAAAATGAAAGCCACCTAAAAATCCCAGGACTCAGGAGGCTGAGGCAGGAGGATCACTGTGAGTTCAATGCCAGCCTGGGATATAATGAACTCAAGTTCAACGCCAGCCTGAGTTCAACACCAGCCTGGAATATAATGAACATAATGAACTAAAGGCTGGCCTAAACTACATAGCAAAACCCTATCTCAATTCCCACCCCAAAAAGACAAACCGAAGAGTAGAAAATATTTCTAATACATACAAAACAAATCCTTCAGATTTAAAATAAAGAGGTACAAAATATGAACAGAAAGATAGACAACTCAACAGGAAAAAAGGCAAAAGACATGAATTTATAAACCAGTATTTGGACAAGTGCTAAATTCCATCGCTATCATGGAAACGTAGAAACTGCTCAGCAGACATGAAGAGACCGAACCTCACATACTACTGTTGTGGTGTCAACTGGCAGAACCACCACTTTGAAAACTGGTAGTGAAGTCTTACTGACCACATGCAAATCCTATGATCCTGCAGTTCTTTTCTTGGACAGAAAGATAACAAAAACATGTATAGATGTTCACCGAACGACATGACCAGAATGTTCAGAGCAATACTATTTCTGATAGCTCTGGACTGGAAACGACTACTCAAATGTCTAATTTGATGGAATAACTACACTGTGGAGAGTCCCTGCTTGCCTGTCTCCTAACTCTGATTCTCGACAGTGACATATACCAGCCACGAGAATGCATGTTACAGGTATGTGATGACATAATCAAAAAATACAATGACGTGTAAAAGAAGGTAGACCAAAGAACAAAACAAAATGTTTTTAAAACACATAAAGTGGCCAGGAAGGGTGGTATATACCTTTAATTCCACCACTTGTGAGGCTGAGGCAGGTGGATTGCTGAGAGTTCAAGACCAGCCTGGGCCACACAGTAAGCCCCATCTCAAAAACAAAACAAAACGACAAAAAAGGACTCCCACCTTGCCCCCCAAAAAACATCACAAAACACACAGAGCCAATTTAAAGAGTTAGTGGTCAGAATGGTGGCTATCCTTGAGGGGTGGAGCTTGAGTGCTAAGCACAGACTCTTTGTGACACCGTACTGAACTTGTTCTTCTGCTAAGTGTTCTTTTCTGAATGTATATTATACTTCAACACAAAGTCAGCATGAAGCATGCCAGACACTGTGCTCATACAGTTTTACAACATCCAGTGAACAAAAAATTCAGTTTCCATTTCTGTCAATGTCATCTTTTTGAATATTTTTATTTTTTAGCGAAAATGAGAATGTGTACACTAGTTACCCCCCCCCCCCCCGCGTTGCTGTGGTGCCGGGGAACCTAGGACCTCATCACACATACATGCCAAACAAGTTCTTTTACTACGGAGCTACACCAAACCCAGCCATACTAGCTTTCATATAAGAGTTTCCATTGTTGGAAAGTTCTCTGTTTTCCTGTTTTTAATATTGATATAGTAAAGAACACTAAAAAAAAGTGATTGTTTTAATATATTATGCCATGCAAAGATATTTAAACTGTTAAAAATTTCTGATAAGCCTTATGTTGCCTTTGAAGAATGTACCTGGATACCTGGCATTACATCTAGGGCAACACTGAAAATCATGCCTTTTGACCTTGAAATAAAGTGCTGGCCAAAAGCATATCACTAGCAGGCCATGGGCTGTCAGGTGGGTCTGCAAATACTCTGAGAATTAGTGATCAAATCTAATCAGTGGACACACTGCAGAAAAATAAAGATCCTTAAGGAAACTAGACAGCAATACAAAGACCCAACCAAAATATAACTTGAAAATAACCTCAGTCAGCAGGCAACCAGAGGCCCATACTCTTGGTCCGGGCCCAGCCCCCAGAGTGGCTCTGAGGCTTCTTCCACTCAGGCTGTCCCTGACTGGCCCTGATGGGCACTAGAATTCATGGCTGCTCACCTTTGAGAGGACCAAGAGCCCTCTTTGCCTCAGTGTCTTAATGGATAAGTCCACTGTTCTTAAGTGCTGGCCACCTCCTTTCACGTACAAACCTGCAATTTTCAGTTAATGTGAATCCTGGTTCTATCCAAGTTCAGCTCTGATACGACCTCTGCAGAGCGGCCTTCCCTGATCAACTGCAAGCATGCTCACTCCATCTTGAATTATTTTCTTCATATCTCTTATTATTATCTGAAATGATCCTATTTATCTGGTGCTCACGTCTGCCTCCCTTGGCAGAACATGCACTCCGAAAGAGCAAGGGCTGTGTCTATCTTCTTTACGCTATTTCCCCTGAGCCTGGAACAGTTCCTAATAAATATTTTGATGAATTTGAATGAAATGAATAAACACAGATACAATCTGTAGAGGACCCCAAAGGCATGCCGCAGTCTCTCCCATCTAGTGTCATCATATTAACACTGGAAGAGGCCTTACCTTTCCTTGCCTACTACCAATTTTTTAGCATTTTCCTACAATGGAATCATACCTACATTTTATTTCCCTTTATTTTGTTCATTTTTGTTGACCTTGGATGACTAATTGAAACACATTTAGATCCAAAAAGAGCTGGAGACACAACAGCTTCTAGGACCTCGATGCCTCATGCATTATCTATTCAGTAGCGACTGACATTCTTCCCAGAAGGGCTAGTCATCCAGCAGCCGCTCTCCAGCACTCACACCAGGACTGGAAAGGAGATCATCCTTACATTCTCAAATCTCATCTCACCAAGGAGAGTAGCAGAGACTAGACTATTCAAACTACAGCAGAGACTCTCACCGGTAAGATAACTCTATTTGAAATTGTTCTGCGTAGAGGAAACCTATAAGACTCAGAGATACTCACTAATTTCTATAAAGAGTTCATTTATGTTTATCGCATTTTTTGCACTGGTCTCTACAAAAATCGCATGAATGGAGTCAGCGTAGTCCTTAGCATCTCTCTCCATGACTTCTCTGGAAGGCAAAAATTGCAAATCAGAAATTCTACCCATTAAGATCTTAAGATTATCCCCTCCTCCCCAGTTATTAACAAGGTTTATGATGACAAAGGAAACACCAAAACCGAAAGGTTGCTGAATGAGCCCTGACATGTGGTCTTTCCAATTTTACTATTTCTGTGTTTACATAAAACTTAGTACTGCTAGCAGCATAACAATGCAGCAAATGGCATGATCAAGAAATGGCAAGGTTTTCTACACCCATCTTCCTAAGTTAAAGGGAAAAGCCTTGCTTAGAGGACCCTGGAAGTGGTGCAGAGAACAACTGCCAATAAATGTGCTTTCTGTATTCAAGTACCTTGTATCACAGGAGTCTTGGGTCTGCACTGATCTCAGATAATGTCAAGTGCAATGTGACCAGTATTTAAGTAAATTACACACCTGTCTCTTTCTATATAATATAACTAGCTCCAAATGCTGAAACCTTAATTTTAACCTGAAACTTGAGGACTCCAACCACATAACAAAAAGAAATTTTTCAGTGTCAGAGATAAAAGCAAGATTTTTACACTGGATAGTGCTCATTAAGAAAAGGAACACATAATCAGCACTGTAACCTCTTGTTCTAGTCACTTACCTGACATCGATAAGATCACACTTATTTCCTGCAATGGCAACTACAATATTAGGTGGGCCATGCTGTCGAAGCTCCTTCACCCAGTTTTTTAAAGTCGAAAATGTTTCCTGCAATACAGAAGTAGAAAAACTGGACATCTAAACAACTCAAGAGTGTCCAAAGTAGTGTGAGGAGAACTGAGTATTGTCTTACTTCTTTAGTGATATCGTACACGATTATAGCTGCAGCCGATCCTCGGTAGTACATTGGCGCTAAGGCACGAAACTGCAGAGAACAGAACATAAACAACAAAATCGGGAATACTCAATGCACTTCTTTTTTCTTTAAATATTTAAGTCCATTATCCCTGCACAAAAGGTAATCTTTCTCTTAAGCCAAAGAGAATGATATAATGCTTTAAAGCAAATGAACCAGTAATTACCCAAAGCAAAAACTTTTAGTGTAACACTGAAATGTCTTTCAGAAGAGTTTAGAATACAGTTTTATAGGATTAAATATGGTGCTGTAAACAATTGTTTCAGCTAAAAAGCCTTTTTAATTGAACTCAATGCTATAATTCCCAAATTCATTTGTTCAACGGCCCTTTAAACTTTGGCTTCCTAAACTATCAAGAGAGATAAAAACAATGCTATAAACAATTCTCCAGAAGAGTGGCTGTGCTGGGGTGTCATAGAGATCACCTTGTAATCTAGAGGCTGATTGTCTTAGACATAAGCACACATTTAAATTCACTACTTGAATGAGGTTGCAACTTGCTTTTCTGCTATCTTCATGCAGTGGTAATTCTCAAACGCTAGCTGTGTATCTCATTTCACATTTATGAATTTAACTCTGCAAGCTTATCTCCTCCTCATCCCTCTTCCCCTCATCACTTCACTGCACATAACAGAGGATGAGAAGCAAGGAGACAGGAATAATCGTTTCAACAGGAAGGGTGATGTAGTGAACCATTTCTTTTGATTAGCAGAAAATGGAAAATCTCTTTCCCCATCAAACTTGGTTCCTATGCACAGATCCTGGTGTGGGCATCACCCACCAACTGTGATGCCAACGGCTAACGACAAGAATTGTACCTCTACCTGAGCCTCACGTTGCACACTGACTGTGAAGCCTGGCCTCTGTGCACAGCATGCTGTCACTGCACTGCATTTGGCTCTGTTCTCGTGCCACCTCCCAACACAGGAGCTCTCCTCACAGGCAGCATCTGGTGCACAGAGTTCCCGGACAGAGCTGCGGACTCTGTCACTTCATCAGTGAGGTCAGCCCTTTGACCTTTAAACTTGCATCTAAACTTCCCCCCCAAAAAGTAGAATTATGACTATAAACTAGGAGAGTAGGCCGCATGTCTGTCTAGCATTGTTTCAGCACCCAGCACCTGGTGCACCGTCGGTAACCAAGTACCCGTAAATAAATGAGTAACAACTGCGTAAATATAGGAGGATGCCAAATTAAATGCCAGACGCAGATGTCCACAAACAGAAATTTTCATTAGTTTTTGTGAGAAAAATATCAGCCTCTAGGGTGGAAGTCTGCTAACTTCCAGTAAAATGTTAAGTTTTAGAAGAAAATAAAAAAGCTGTAAGAAAGCATTATTGAAAAGGAAACTACATTATTAGCTGAAAAAGAATGAAAATGTTAAGATCGTCTTTCACATAATACAACCACATAGATGGGACAAACGTTATAGTATTACAGTGTTAACTTTATTGTTGTTGTTATTTTTATTATTTTGGTGTTTTTGAGATGGTTTCACTGTGCAGTTCAGGCCTGCCCTGAATTCACTTTGTGTAGCCCAGGCTGACTCGAACTCACAGCAACCTCTTGTCTCAGCCTCCCGAGTGTTAGGGCTGCAGGTATGCTACTAGGCCTGGCCTTTTCGTGTGTGTGTGTGTGTGTGTGTGTGTTTTAGACAGGCTTTTATTACATAGTCCAGGCTGGCCTTGAACTCACTTTGTAGTCCAAGCTTGACTCGAACTGGTAACAATGCTCCTGCCTCCGCCTTCTGAGTACTAGGATTATAGGTGTGCACCACCATGCCTGGCTGGCTCAGGTTTCATTTTTGATGTACTTATGATGGTAATGTTTTATAAGGTTTTTCTTTCTTTGTTCAAACTTGCAAAATTCATAGGGAAAAGCAAAGATCTTAATGGTATATTTTGATAAACCGACAAATTTATACATTCATATAAGTACCATCCACCAGCAAAGAAAACTTTTCTTCATATCAGCACAGAAAATCCCTACTATCCCCCTCTTACCATGTTCCTCTTTAACCCTGGTAACAACCCTTGTTTTCAAGTCTGTTTACAGATATGAACACAGCCACAACAGTTTCATTTTGCTTATGATTTGCACGGCACATTTCTTTCATTCTCTTTTTTTTTTTTTTTTTTTGTCGTTTTCATTTTTATCGGTACCGGGGACCGAACTCACGACTGCCTGCTTGCAAGGCAGGTGCTTATGCCGCTGAGCTAAATCCCCAGCCCCTTCTTTCATTCTCTTATTTTCAATCCTTGCTCTTTTCCTTTTTAATTGGCAGTACTGGAGATTGAACTTGAGGCCTCTGCACTGGGCTGTATCTCCTGCCCTTTTCATTTTGAGATAGGGTCTCACTGAGTTGATCAGTTGCCCAAGCTGTGGTAAAACTTAGTGATCTTTCTGCCTCAGTCCCCTAAGAGGTGGGATCACAGATGTGGCCACTGTGCCTAGCTCTGGCTTTTGTTTTTGTATATAAAGTCATCTTTTAAAACCAACACACAGTTGCATCCTGCAATTTTTGGTACAATATGACAACCTCTGCCTTTCTAAGGACTGTTTAGGCCCTTCACATCTTTGTGTTTTTGGCACTAGGGCTGGACCTCACGACCTTGCACTTGCCAAGCAGTGCTAATGCTGCTTAGCTAAATGCCCAGCCCAGTCCCTTCACATCTATGTCCTTACCGAGGCCCTTGGGTTAGAGTCACCACTTTGTTTTATATTCATTCTATTTCCTTTTAAAGTCTTCTGTTCTCCCTCTCTTCTTCTCTTTGCATTTATTACACTTTAGTATTCTATTTTAAAATACTAATTCTTTTGACTTTTTAACTAGATTCTGATTGTTCTTCTTAAGTAAAATATACATTATTCTATAGTCTATTTAGAGCTGAAAACATCACTTTATATAAAGTATCAGAACCTTACAAGAGTGTAATTTTTTTTTTGAGACAGGATCTCTCTATGATAGTTTTAGGATGGCCTTGAACTCACCATATAGCCCAGGCTGGCCTTGAGCTTGCAGTGATCCTCCTGTTTCAGCCTTCCGAGTGCTGGGATTACAGGAATGTGGTACCAAATCCAGCAACAATGTAATTCCTTTTGCCCCACATTCTTTATGCTACTGCGGTCAAATATTTTAAATGTACATAACTAAGTATACAATCCAATGTTACAAATTTTGAACTAAATAATCATTTTTTAAAAAGTGAGTCTCAGACCCCTAGATTTTTGTATGTATCATTTCCAGAGCATATTATTACTTCTTCCTGTAGATCAGATTTGAGTTACCATCTGGTGTCATTTCTTTGTATTCTGAAAAAGTTTCTGGGACTGCTATTGCTGAATTCTCTTAGCTTCTGGTTTTATTATTTTGACTTTGTATTTGGTGGACTAGAAGGCTTTTTTCCCTGCTTGCTTTGAGCACATTAAATATACGGTGCTCACCACAGGCTTCTGGTCTCCATGGTTTCTGAGCGAAGTCAGCCATCACCCATAATGGTTTCCTGTATACAACATGTCTTCTATCTCTGACTGCCTAAGATTTTCTTTTTATCTTTGGTTTTCCGCACCATGACTATGATATATCTGTATGCGTTTTCTCTTGTACATACAAGTTTGCTGAACTTGCCTTTGTGAGCTATCAGTCCCACCAAATTTGGGATGATTTCAGCCATTATTTCTTGAAAAACAATTTTTTCCTGTCAGGCCTCAAATTATATGTCTGTCACACTACTTGAATCTATCCCCAGCATACTGAGACTCTGTTCACATTTTTCTACCCTTTCCCCCCTATTCTTCTGTTAATTTGTTTGTCCAGTGATCCAGGGAATTTTTCATCTTAGCTACTGTGGCTTTTAGTTTTAGCATTTCCATTTAATTCTTAAGTTTCCATTCTGTGTGAGATTTCCCACTTGTAGTTAACAGTTAAGGTTACTTTTCTTTAAATCTCTGAACACATTTAAAATGTGCTTCTAATTCTGTGTCTGTATGTATTCTAACGCCAGTGTTGTTTGGGGGTTTGCTTCTACTCACTGATCACTCTTTCCCTGTTCATGTATACAGTGATTCTGCAGATGCACCGCAAGCTCTGTGGTTCTATTATCTGCTCTGAAAGGTGTTATTAGTGGCCATCATCACTAATTGTTAGGGAGGGGCTATGTGGGTTTGCCCTTTGTCCGAGGGACATGATCTCTGCTCTTAAAGCCTGGCTCTCCGAGGTTTCAGTGGAAGCCTCAAGGTGTTAACCAAAACCCTCTGATGCAGCAGGACTAGATTCAAACTCCAAACATCAGTTCTGCCATAATGGCCAACAAATAACTCTGCTCAGTCTTGTCACCCTCCTAGCTGTTGGTTTCTGCTGCATTTTGTAATGTCCTTCCTGCACATATGCATCTTGGGGTTAATCAAAGATGTGAGAGTAATTTAAAAACAGATTTTGGAGCTTCCCTCCTTACTATCTTTTCTAGGATTTGCCTACTCTTTTTCTAGCTACAACTAGCAGTTTCAAAAACTATCCTCAACGGTTAAAAGTTAAAAAGATTGGCTTTCGGCTTGAGTTCTACCTAACTTGTGGAACACTGACTACAGCAGTAATGGTGAACTTTCTAGAGACCAAGTGTCCAAACTGCATCGGAAACCCATTTATTTATTGCAAAGTGCCAACACTGCAATTAAACCTGATAGTAAGGTTTTAGTTGAAAACAAAAGAAAACAAAACAAATCAACTGTTATCCAATGCTTGGCTGCTGGGGCAGCTTGGCTCATGCCCACTGTGGCGCGTGTGGCATAAGCTCATCACCACTGAATGAGGGAGTGCCAACTGGGGAAAAGTTGTGAAGATGTGGACTGCATCTAATGTGGGTCTCTTTTTCAGTTCCTGTGTGAATTTGGTTGCTCTACAGTATCTTTAAAAAGTCGTTTTTTTAAAAAGTTTTGTCCTGAGTTTATATATTATGTGTAATTACTCTCTGTGGGAGGCTAAGGCCGTTATAAGCCACACTTGCTACTGACATTAAAACTGTTTCCACATCCTTGTGGTGCAAAGACGGACAGAAGCATATAAAGAGACTCGAAAGATCTCAGCACATCTGTGCTTCAAATCTGGCTATCGATCAGGGGGCAGCAAACTTTCTGGCATGCAGTAGATACTAAATAAGTTTCAGCTTCTGGGCTATACAACTTCTGTTGAAACTACTCATCTCTGTTACTAAAGAGTAAAAGTATCCACAAACAAATAGAAACAAACAAGTGTGGTTATGCTTCAATGAAACTCCGGCTTACAGAAACAGGCAGCAGGTTGGACTAGGCCCTTTGATTACTGCACATAATCCCAAGTCACTGTATTTATTTCTCATTTTAAACACAAGAACAATTCTTTACATGACTTCTGTGACAATAAATAGGTGTGTGCTTTCCTGGTGTTCTGCTTCCGCAGAAGGAGCATCAAGAGAAAACACGTGAAGCTGTAGGGATGTAAGTCCTTAGGGTCTGGATACAGTGTCTATCAGAGTCTGGTTAAGGAGCTTTCTTCCAGGTCATATACTGGTGTATTTATGATACATCTTCATGGTTCCTATGTACGAGCTGTGTCTGTCTCAATGTAGCTGGAATTCTCAGTGCCCTCACACTGATAATTAGTGGGAAAATGTGACAAAATACACTCATTCAGGATTGCAGATATGGACAAAAAGCACTCATGATGGCTCTGCCTTGAGAAAATTAAGTTTAAGAACATGAAAACGAAATTTCATTTTACCTAGTACTTGAAAAAGGTTTATTTTACATCCAGGATGAACACTGGAACAAAGTTAATCGATAACTTGTCTTCTTCTGATAAAACTATATGCTATATATAGCACACGGCAGTATGTTATCTTTCATTTCATATTGGACTTTCATAGTCCTACAATAAAGTGGCAATTTCTACAAACATATGTGAGGGAGCTGTCAATTTTCCTGTGGCCCCTTTTTACCATTTAATATATAAACATGGACCTTCTGAAGCACCTATATCAGCATTCTCATCGGTATTTCTCTTTATTTAACAAGTTACTTATGGTCAAGGGCTTCATATAATATTTAGAAAATTCTCCAAAAATCACTTTTACTGATTTAAATAAAAATACTTCACAACCAGTTGTGAACTTGACCATCAGACGGACAACTGATTTGTCAAAACTGTGTTGCAAAAGATACTAGGACCAACTGGGGTCTGAATGGTAAGTTTATCAAAAATGGTTCCCATTCTAAAATACATTATGAATCTCATAACTGCAGAGAACTAAACAACAGACAATGTAAATACCAGAAAATTACAGTCTGAGGCATGCTCTATTCATGTGGTCAACGTAGGTTAAGGTAGCAGTAGATATGACTCTATTAGTATCAAGACCTTGTGTTAAGAGGAGCGACATGAAGACAGTCCCTGACCCAAGGAGCTCAGAGTCTAAAGGAAGGCAAATAAGTAAGGGGTCTGGTGACAACCGAATGAATGAGGGCAATCAAAAGACCGCTGAGGACACAGAGAATTCATTTCTGGATTTATCCAACCAGTATCTGAGCATGAACTTTATGTCAGGCACTGTGTTGGGACTGATAGTGAACAAGAACATAACTCTTAAAGTTTACTGTCTAGTAGAACAGATGGTCAATAAGGTAAGTAGATGGACAGCTAATTACAATTTGTAATGAGTGTCTTGAGGAAACTGAATACAAGCCAACGACAGAGAATGAAGTAGGGGGCCTAACTTAGGTACAGGGAAGTTGGGGAAAACTCTGAGGATACGTTTAATCTGAGACCAAAAGCTAGAAAGGAGCTTCTGAATAGAGAGAAGAGTGTTCCAGTGAGAAGGACCAATGTCCATGTAGGCTGGTTAGGAAAGCTCCCGTTCAGGGGATATTGCAAGTGGGATCTGAAGGCCGAACAGAATTTTCCAGGCAAAAGGCAGAAGGAAGGGTAAGAGACTATGGTACATGGTAGAAATCTACCAGCAGCAGGGGCTGGGGATTTAGCTCAGTGGCATAAGCGCCTGCCTCGAAAGCAGGCAGTCGTGAGTTCGATCCCTGGTACTGGTAAAAACGAAAAAGCAAAAAAAAAAAAAAAAAAAAAAAAGAAATCTACAGAATGGTGGCAAGGGGTAAAGTAAGTCTGGTTGCAGCTGGCACATTCAGCCTTGAAGCCTATCCCAGGAAGAATGGTCAGTCCTAGACCCAAAATGGGCTCACAGAATGGGCCTAGCATGACTGTGCCTGTATTGCAAACAATCTGTGATGAGCTAGTAGGTGCTCAGCCATGCTTATGCCCTGTAGACTGACAACTCTGCACATGAGCTTTTGCCCAGCACCGTCTGGCCAGAGCCTCTTGACTGCCTCCCCAAAGCAGGACCTGCTGGTCTAGGGTCTATCCCTGGCCTTTCCTCAAGACTACCATCTGTTTAGCACTAGGCTGCATGGTGGTGCTTAAGGCGACAGGGAGCCAGGTTCACATCTCAGATCAATTAGAAGTAGGCTAACAAGGGGCAGCTGAACCAGCCAATTATAGAACTTCGCAGACACCTGCAATCATGCTAGCAGAAAGGAATGGGTATATACTCTTGTTATTTCTTTTATCATGTTTCAGAGGAAGGAATGTTATATAGCATTGTGTGTCCCAGGACAGACTGATGAAAGCACAATGGATCTGTATTCCAGTATGATTCTTTTGATGGAGGTTTTGCTGCACCATCAAATATCTGTAAGGAGTAACTGAAACTTGGGATTTAGTGCAAGTGCACATACATGACTAGCAGGAAGAGCCCTGTGAGTTTGTAGCTAATGGGACAGATTCCAGGGTTGTGTGTACAGCTATATGCAGAATTCTAGGAACTAACACTCCTAGAAGACTGAAAAGTGATGGTGGCAGAAGGCCCAACAATCCTAAACGTTCCATTCTAGACACAACAGCAGCACAAAAGAGTGGAGACTGCAGGGCCATAAGCAGATGTATCTCAGATAAGTCACTGAATGGAAGCATGACATCCAGCGCTAAAAACAGAAGAAAACAAACAAAGCAAACTTAAGACGTTAAATCTGTACAAATATAGTATGTCTATATCATGGACATGGAGTAACAGTTTATTTTGTTTTCCTCCATTTGTCTGTGATGACTCTTGTCAGAGTTTATACTATACACAATATCTATGTTGTCTTAGATAAGACTGTGATGACAGACTATTTTTCCTGATTACTTTTGGTCTACTTTTAAGAGCTTAAGATAGCACTGTGCATCCATCAGATGCTCTGCTTTGATAGTACTACTGGAAAATAAAATCAAAGAGCAGCTGAATAATGGGGTGGCCACCACAGGCACCTCGGCAGTGCAACTGAACTGGGCTGATGAGGCAGGAGGTATGTTCCCAACCCCTTCTGATTTGGGTGAGGTAACCACATCCCATCTGGCCCCACGGTGCTGCAGCCAGTCCCACTGCGGAAAAGGCGCTTCCTCAGGCAGATTACCATTGTGGTTGATTTTATTATCAGGCATTTATTAAGTATCTCTGGCAAGGCACTGTGTTAGCTCATCCGTTTCACTTAAATCTCAAACTTTATATGCTGTAAAGTTCCCTCTTTAGTTTTTTAAAAGGCAACTAAAATGAATTGTGCTTAACTCTCCCTTTCTACCACTAATCCTTTTATATCTTTTTACTAGAGAATGAAGCCCCAAATTACACACAATGCTCAAGTGGGATTTTATCAGGCCTGTTAGTCAGCATTTACTTTAAGACACTAAGAAGTATAAAAATGCCCTCAGTGCCCATTATCACTTTCTCCATCAGTGGACTTTGTGGCTCTAATTGAACAGAAAAAGGCTGGCCTACACAAATGAAAACAAATGCATCTCTGGTGCATATAAGAGAAGTGAGTAACATGAGATGACAGTAACACTGACAGTTTAGTTGGAGCTTTAATTTGATTTGGGCTCAGAAAAACACATAGTAAATTAAAGAGAGACTTACTCGTTCTTGTCCAGCTGTATCCCAGATTAGGAATTTATGTAGCTCATTTTGGTACTGGACAGTCTTGGTCATAAAAGATGCCCTATAAAGCAAGACCTAAATAGTCAGAATACAATTATTTAAAAGCACATTTCCAGCCCCAGTCGGAAACACCACTTAGACTTAATCTCAAACACCCAGCTCTACGTCATCTCCTAATTGTGTTCCCCTCTGGAGTATTTATAGGATGCTCAAATGCTAGCTGTAGTTTGTGCTGTCAGAATAAAAAAATGTTAGGCAGACCTGCTCAACAGAAAGAAAGAAAAACTTTTGGGCTTTTGGTTGCTTAAGCTCTGTATCTAAAGAAATTAAGGAAGCCTGGTAATTCAGACATAAGCCTCCCTTATAAAATGCAGGAGCTATTATTTTGAAAGATGTTATGAGGAAACTTTCCAAACATCAGTATGTTAAGGAAATGTGTGCACCAGTAAAAAAAAAAAAAAATTATATATATAGTCATTTGGCTTTGTCCTTGTTGTTCTCAAATCACATACCCACACAGATAGATGGCTGAGTAGGAATCAGTGTGTCATTGAAGTTAATAAAGTTAAGATGCCTAAGAACAACAGAACACCTGGAGAAGTGACAGCTGCACCATGGTGACCTGATGTATCCTCAGACCCCGGTGACCCCATGTAGTTTCATCAACAAAACAGGTTTTGCCCTTTCCTTCCCCTTTTTTGGGGTGGTGGTGGTACTGGGGATGGATCCTAGGGCTTTCACACGAGTACACTTGAATCTCCTTTTGAATTTTGGGACAGGGTCTTGCCTGTCTCAGCCTTCCAGAATATTAGAATTATTCTACGCACTAATATACCTAGATTAAAACAGATTTCTCAGCTAAGGTTCAACCTTTGATGTCAGGGTCTCACTCAGCCTTAGATGGAGGGAGGAACCAGGGTTGCAAGCCACATAGCTCACTGAAAGCAGAGGTCTCTATTACTTTTGGGATCCCCTACTTTTTGAAGTATCTTCAGTGGCCCACGGCAGGTACCTGGATATTCTGAGGGTTCCTAAATACAGCTTTAAGAGAGTTAACTGATACTTGACCTCGCTCCCACACTCCCTTTTGCTCCTAACATCACTTAGAAAGTAGTCTCTTGGGAAATCCTTTCTCTCCCTATTTCTGTACAGCATTGTAGTCCAGTGCAGTTCAGAGAACTTAGAGGTCTTTTTTCCCCTTTCTACTGGATAACAAGGTTTCTGGGGCCAAAGTCTCAACTGTGTTCTTGAACCATATCCCAATCAATTCAATCAAGACACTGAAGTCAATGGCTGTGGCCTTTTTCTACATATTGGGAGTTTGAAATATTCTTGTTGAGATTCAAGTAAGAGATAATCTTCAACAAAGTGCAAGTTTACTACAACTTCTAGAATAATCACCAAACTTCAAAGAGTAACAGAATTCTTAGTTTTAAAAAGTTTAACTCTGAAATAGGAATCCTGGTAATATTTATATAAAGTTGTGGCAGAACAACTAGCTTTCAAAATAAAGACTAGGTTGAGGAAAGTGAAATAGGAGACAAGATCACATTTACTGGATAGGTGTTTTTTTTTTTTAAACTTTTTGAGACAGGGTCTCACTATGTAGTTCAAGCTGGTCCTGAGCTCATTTTTTTAGCCCGGACTGGCGTCGATTGTGCAATAATCCTTCTGCCTCAGTCTCCTCAGTTCTGGGATTATATGCATCACCATAGCTGGCTTGGATAGGTGCTTTTTATTAGCTACTTACTGAAAACTTACCCCAGTAAAGTGACTCGTACACAGAAGATAATCAATTGTAAATGTATCAAGGAACTTTTGAATAAAATTTTTAAAAACTCAAAAAAGGGGGACACTTTTGGTGATTTCCTATGATTCAATCAGGTGCAAATGTTCTCTTCATATTGGAAAGATCTAAGCTTTCAAAAAACTATTGCTTACTATAAAGATCAAATAAAATGATGTATGTGAAAGTGCTCTGGAAATCGTAAAGCTCCATATTCATACGAGGTATTATTGTTATTAAGGGCAGGAAAGTCTGGACTTTGTAATTAATGCCAAAAGTGTAATTACAATGCAAGCCTCCACCAATTATGGCAGTGGAGTTACACTGAGCACCCAACAGAAAGCCTTTCACAGAACCCGTGTATCCAACACTTCTGTACCGTGTGCTTGAAGGATCAGAGCAGCATGTTTCAAGCACAACAAAACCTGACAAAGGTAGATACAATAATTAAAAGGAAATGTTTCACTATAGACTTAGAACACTCAACCTTCTTGCCAATCATTTCCCTCTAATAAGATAAACTTTTATTACTGAGTTATGAGACAGACAAAACAACAGATAATCAAAATGACTGAAATGATTAGCCCATTTCTGACCCTCAACCATCTTTGGATCGTATCTGCCTCAGCATTCACAGTGACTCCTTCTGGTCCACTCTCTCGTGTCCAAAGCTCTCTTCTTGGGCCCTGTGTCCGTTGGCTTCTTGTCTTTCTGTCATTGGTACCACTTCCCACGCTACTACATAGTACAGCAATCCTGTTTCAGCCACCTGGAAAAGCCCTAGCAGCTTCTCCATGGGCTTCCTTTACCCTGACTCTGTAGAGTGTCTGTTTTGCTGGAGGAAAATCATAATACAGGTACGCAAGCAAAAAAATTCTACTCTGTGTCAGCTAGGCTGCCTCTTAAGCCTTTCCCTATTCATGCAGGAGTTATGTCACATTTCTTCTTCTTCTTTTTTTTTTTGGTACCGGGGATTAACTCACCACCTCACGCTTGCCAGGTAGGCATTTGTGTGTGAGCTATATCCCATCCCCTATGCCACATGTGTATGTTCTAGCTGCTTGCTACCTCCTGTTATTCTCTTTCCTCAGGGAACCAGCTTGTCCCAATATTCTCTGGAAAAAAAAAAAAAAGATTGTAAATCCAGTAAGTTCCCCAGTTGACACTCCCAACTTGAGAAAGGATCCATTTCCATCAACACCAGCATGATTTTCACTTTTCTGACTTTGGCAGAGTCAGAGATGTCTTATCCTCTGCTCAGGCAAGACTGTCATTCTGGTTCGCGATCTCGGTACATTTGGCTTGGGCCACTGTAGTCACTGAATTGTTCTCTTCCTCCTACTCTGAAATCCTTCCAATAGTCTCCCCTTTCAGCTCTCATGTACTGCTTCCCCCTCGTCTTCCCTAGCTAGATGCTACTTACTCTTTGAATCTCAGCTGAAATGTCAGTGATCACAGAAGTCTGGGATACCCACCCAAATCAGGAAGCTTCCCATCCGACTCCATTTCCTACTACAATGACTAACTAGTTCATTAAAAAAAATTTTACCTGTTCAATGACTGACTCACTCATGAGAATGCTAAGGTCTGTAAGAGGCAGGGAATTTGCAGCAGCTCTCTCTTTCTGAGAGAGTCATCTTCCTCCTCTCTTCCTTGCTATCCTAGAACTCTATCCACATTTTCTGTGGTGCCCAGAAACTACTTATTTCAACAATTCCTGAAGCATAAAGTGAGTCCCACAATCAAGTGCAGGCTCCTTAACTGTATCCTGAGGTGTGGCGTCCAGGGCACGAGGGGAGCAGGTCAAGGGCAGGATGGACTATGCTCAGGATTCTGCCTACCTTAGCCTGTTCAGCCACCAGCTCTAACCCCTATCCTAGTCAACAGGTCACAAGTAAAATCTGGCTACTGTGTTCTTCCATCATGCAGACCTGTGGAATTTTAAGAAGTCACTGCACTTTCTGGCGTATCTGCTGCTTACTCATGCACCGAATCAGCAGCCACTTCCTGAGTCTGAGCTCATGTGGCTAGGGTAAGATAATCGCATCTCTCTCACCTCTCTTTCTCTGGGCCCCATAATGTCTCTTCAAAGCAATAAGCATCTCTGTTTGTTTTTAAGAGATGAAATCTTCAGTTATCATATCTGTAAGAACCATTTCCTCTTCCTCAGCATTCAGAGCTGGTTCTCATATATGCAGTAATAACACTTTGGTCTCGAGGTCAGACTTGAGAAGCAGTATTGAATGTTATCTCTCTCAATCTGATTGACTTTAGTTTAACTATCTAGTGTAGATAACTTCATCACACTTAACATCATAAAGATAAGGCTTACTTTCATCTTACCTTCCCAAGGATCCCAAATTCCAAGTTCTGTCTTAGAACACTGTTTTCTTCTATAGAACAGAAACTAGTCTGCAACTATTCTTTATCCTCTGTTACTTGCATCCAATTTTGCAGAAGAGCTGTCTGGTTCTTCATTTTATAGTTAATCTACACTTGAACCTCAACCTCTGATATAAATTCATAAATTGGACCCTAATCTTTGGGCAAGATTACTACAATTTTTCCCTTCTGTCGCTCAAACTCCTTTAATGTTCAAGTTAAATGATACAGAGGGTATGATAACTTCAATATCTTGCTTTTTGAAAAACAGGCAGTAGCTCCCTGCCATTCAAATGATACATTTTTATTTTCCAGCCTGCCATTTACTTGTCTGATAGCCTTATTTTTCACTACTAAACTAGCTCTCTTCAGTCTGCCTAGGCAGATCTTATTACCTCTTTAATCTAAAATCCCTACTAGCATTATTTCCTAAAGCTTGAGTGCCTTTCATGTATTTCCCCATTTTTCATGACATTCCAAAAATATGACTTCCATGCATACCAAATAATCATGATCTTTGGTCACAGTATGTGTTCCTAATGAAAATACATGCGACAAGTTGTTTTGAAAGTTTCTTTACGTTAACTGCAGGTACTTGTTTAGCTCTCTTGGAACACAGATGTACTATGACACTACATTTCAGAACCTCGTATTTCTGAGCCTTTTTCTTGGAATGGCACATGGGACATTGTCATTTCTATAATACAGGTAAATAATGCCTCTGGAAGGTGAATAATTCAGTACACTTTAAAATTAACAAAAGACTATAGCTTATAAACACTATTAAATCTTGCCTGCCCAGCAAGCAGAAGGCCCTAAGTCCTGGTATTAAAAAAAAAAAAAAATCAACACAGCAACAAAAAAAAAACCACTTTAAATCTCAAACAAACAAC